ACCCATGCCAAAGAAACTCACAACCGCCTGAATGCTGCTGTTTTTGTAGCTGCCCAAACTGGTCATCAAAGATCTGACTAGAAGTCATGTTAGAGTAGTGGGGTGGGAAGACAAACACTTCCAGGATATAGGTAACTTGGCAACTTTACACTGGAGCAGCAGTATCTGTGGCTTGAATATTAAAAATCATAAGTTGTCATTGTTCATGTGTGGGTCAACATTTATAAGGTCTGAAAGGGAAATATGTGCTTAGTAAAACCTGATAGTGCCAGGTAGAGGCACACACCTGTAATCCCAACAGCCAGTAGGCTGAAGTAGTAAGATTAAGAGTTTGAGACTAAGGTTCAGAATGACAAAGGATGTATTTTCCCTTATCTGTGGATATCAGACTCAAAATATATACTTAAACAGGATCATGTGGATATATGTGGATAAAATCACTCTGACTATAAAGTATTATAAAATGCATATGAGATAACATTATGAAAAAATCATTTACATGAATTTTAAAGAACAAGAAAGAATTTTAGGAAGTTGAAACATGTCTGGGGTGTATGCTTTGTGAAAAGGGGCAAATGAGAAGTGAGAAGAAGAGCTAAAATGAAAATGAAACAAGGAAAGTTGAGAATGGTTTGGGAGGAGAGAAGAGAGTGGGAGAAGGGTGATTACGCAAGAAGTATTGCATGTACAACTAAGTGATACCAATTTAAAAGAAAATTCAAGACTAGTTGGAGCAGTTTATCTCAAAACCAAATGAAAAAGCAGGGTGGTGAGAGGTTGGGGGAATGGCTTACCAGCAGAGGACTGTGCTTAGCACCTGTTGGTTTGATTCCCTGGTTTAATCAATCCCTTCCCCAAAAACAGGTTCCACTCTGGATGTTAAATTCAAATTCAAAGTGTTTATTAGACATGCCAGTGGAGAAGTCAAGGAGAAATTGTTTAGACAAGTTCAGAGTCTCAGGAAAGCTGAGTGTGGGAGATACCCGATTATCATTTTGAGGAGTTAAGCAATGGGAAAAGATGAAATAACAAGGAGAGCAGAAGAATAGATAGATTCAAAGGCCTGTTGCTGCCTCTGGAATCAGCAGGCTGATTCCTCTCACATCAGTCATTAGAACATCAACCATTCACAGTTATAATTCACAGAATTTTACCATTCTTCCCATACCTTCTTCACTAATTCAAGAATTCAAAAAGATTAATACTTGATTGATTTCAAGGGTTTATACTCTTAACCACCAAAAGCTACCAAACCAATAAACTTTCCCCCCAAAATGACTTTAAACTCTTCTCTTTCTACTGTGACAAGTAATTCTCATTTCCAAGGATAACTGTATAGTAACCATCTAACTAAAACCATTTCTAATGCCAGCCTTTTCTCTAACACATCCCTGATAACTACTACTAACTAATTCTTTATTTTAGACAAAGCTGGCCTTTAAGTGCTAAGATTACCAGTATATACCACCAAACCTGGCCTAATTCTTCTTAGTTTTCAAGTCATTCTGTAGCTTGAGTTTTTTCTAATAGGTGTTTCTTCTACTGTTTTGGAGGCATGGGGCAGGTTGAACTCAGGGCCTCATGCTTGTGAGGTTGATGCTCAAATACATGAGTCATACCACCAAGCCATTTTTGCATTACCTTGTCTTTCAAGATCCTTCATAAACTACTCTAACTTGATATCCTTCCATTACCCATCCTTACTGCACACCCTAACATCACTAACACAGCAGCATCAAATGATATGTGTACTACAGAAACAATCCTATGAGTTAGGCATTAAACTTTGGTTTTACAGGGGCTGGGAAGGTGGCTCAGTGGTAGAGCACTTGCTTTGCATGCCTGAGGCCCTGGGTTCGATTCCTCAGCACCACATAAGCAAAAAGAAAAAAGCTGGAAGTGGCGCTGTGGCTCAAGTGGTAGAACGCTAACCTTGAGCTGAAGAGCTGAGGGACAGTGCCCAGGCCCAGAGTTCAGGCTCCACAACCGGACCCAAAAAACAAAAACAAACAAACTTTGGTTTTACAAATAAATACCCTCCAATACACTGACTGATAGAGCTAACTGCCCAAGCCTACAGCTAAAGGATGATGGGACTTGGAATTCTGAGTTCTATTTGTACGTTTCTACAACTACTGTGCTCTGTTGTCTGCCATATTGACAGCACCATTTGGTCTAATGTATAATCTTTTCACAGTAGCTATCTTCCTCCACTCGGGTGTGCAGTGGTTTACAACTTGTGAAACGATTCCAGAAGCCCTCAAAGAGAATCTCTATATCCCCTTAAACTTAATAGCCAAATATTGTTTACATTGAGTTTTATTTTCTGGCATTTGTTTTGTGAAAATTATTCTTACTATTTTTTCAACTGCCAATATAAAATCTGTTGTTAGAAAAGAGTCCATACTTACTCAATCCTACCAAATTCTCGCTCTTGGGTGCCTTCTGAACAATCACTGAACCCAACCTTGCATTACGTGGTGCAAGGGCCGTAATATACTTTAGAGCAACCAATCTAAGTTTTTGCAGAAAGCCTATTTACTAGGGCTTCAATATATTGGGCTCTGAATGGGGGGGGGGGGGGGGAAACCTGAGGAGAGATGCAATTTTCAACACAAAAGCCGTTAGATTAAATAATTACTGGAGACAGTCGACTCAACTGGTGGCTCTTAAAGCTGCAGAAAATGAGAGCACGTTTGACCGAGTTGATGATAACCATAGGACAGCTGAGCCTCCAGAAAAGCGCCGGGCTACAAGCAGGATTCTGAGCAGCAGCCCGGGGTCCGGGACGAGCGCGGATGCTGACGACCCAGCACCACGACCACCACCCCTTCACTCTCCAGGAAAAGGCCCGCGGACACCACCAAGCGTGGTCATCAGTGCCCCGCTCCGGGCCACGCACACGCAGACTCCCCTCCTCGAGATAACCCCCCATCACACCGACCATTTCCCATTCGGAGCCGAAATCCCCAACCGCCGGCGCGCAATTCGGAGGCGGCTCCGGTGTGGTTCCGCCCGTCCACACCGACCCCCGGCCTCCCTCCTCCGCCTCCCGCCAGCCCCCGGCCCCCGGCCGATGCTCCACCAGCGCGCACCCCTCCAGAAAGGAGCCAACGCTGGAAGCGCTCCCAGACCCTCTCCCGGAAGTGTGCCGAGGGGACAGTTGTACCTCAACTTCCCGAGCAGCGCAGGTAGCCGTCCTCGGAGGTGGGACCCGCGGTGAGGAAGCCTCCCGGACCTCCCGTCACCATAGTGACTTCCAAGCGTCACTCTCGCTCGCTCGTCTCACTTCCCGCGATACTTGCCAGAGGCGCGTCATCTCCGCGACCACGCCCCCCAGGCCCCGCCTCTAAACGAGCCCGCCCTCTCCTCCACGGCTGTCATTGGGCAGCCGGCCTCCAGCTGGGGATGTAAGGGGCGGGGCATTATTTTTCTCTTTTTTTCATGATTTCCAGGCTGTTTTTTCAAAATGCCGTAGTCTCCACAACACTGCTTCCCTTAGTGATCACAGGGGTGTGGGGGAAAGCGTTTCCTCGGTCCTAACCACTTCCTAGAAACTTCCTCCCGCCGGGAGCCCGCGCATGCGCGCGAGCGGCCAGAAGATGGCGGTGATCGTCACCGCCCTTTCTTTTTTTTTTTTTTCAAATGAGTCGATCCCAGAAGTCCTTGCGCGCATTTGTAACGAATTTCCGTTCGAGTTTGTATTTTAGGCGCCATTTTCGAGTGGAGGACCCGGAGCTGAGGCGTCGGTAGGCGCGGGGAGTGGGGGTGGGGAGCGCACCCCGGTCCACGCCGGCGCCGGGGCGGGCGGACTGCCGCGCAGGTACGCTGCTCCTTCGGCTGGCCGGGTTGTCACACGCGGACCCCCGCCCCATCCAGGGCCGCCTGGAGGGAGAGGCCTGGGGCCGCGGGGTGGCGGAGGCCGCGG